TGCCGTATAGTGCAAACCGAGACTACAGGTAAACAGGAGCTAAGCGCTATAAGATGTAAGATCTGAGATCCAAAATTTGGTCTGTTGCTATTGAATTGGCCTGTGTTAACAGATATCAAATGACTCAGCGTGGTATTATCATGTGAAATTTGAATAAATAGGATTTCTATTGATATGTGGTTTGTCAGGAGGGGACAATATTTGACAGAGAAACAACTATTTGAAAATAATAAAAATGTGAGGGTTCAAAAAAAATCAAAATAAATGTTTAGCAAAGCACATGGTCACACTTTACAATAAAGTTTTGTATTAATTTCAGTTTTATAACATGAACTAAGAATGAACAATACTAGCATTTATTAATCATAGTTCAACATTTATTAATGCATTATAAAAAAAATTTAATTATTGTAAATGCACTGGGAGTTAACATGAACTAACAATAAACAACTCTTATATTCATTTACTAACAGTAACTAATACAACCTTACTGTAAAGTGTTACTACGCACATTACTAATACATTGGTTGTTACATACAGTAAAAGTCAGAATTATTAGCCCTGCTTTGATTTTTCTTTTTTTTTATATATTCCCAAATGATGTTTAACAGAGCAAGGAAATTTTCACAGTATGTTTGATAATATTTTTTCTTCCGGAGAAAGTCTTATTTGTTTTATTTTGGCTAGAATAAAGCAGTTTGAAATTTTTAAAGATATTTTAAGGTCTAAATTATTAGCCTCTTTAAGCTATATATTTTTTCTATAGTTTACAGAACAAACCATCATTATACAATAACTTGCCTAATTACTCTAACCTGCGTAGTTAACCTAATTAGGAGAATAGGGGATCCTAATAGGGGATCTAATAATTCTGGGGGGCTAATAATTCAACTTCAACTGTATATACATATATACAAATATATATATATATATATATATATATATATATATATAGTTAAAAATGTATAAAATGTTATAGAATGGAAAAAGAATTCTAAAGATTTTTTGCCATAAAAGAAAAACCAATAATTATCGCCTACTATAATTATTATATATATATATATATATATATATATATATATATTTTTTTTTTTTTATGATTTTTGGCATAATAAAAAAGCCAATGATTATGACCTACTGTATATAATATATTTTTGGCTATTGAAAAAAATATACCAGTGCAACCTAAGACAACCTAAGGTTTTGCTGTCCAGGGTCTCATTTTGTAACCTTTACTACAATATCAGTTGTTATTTCTCAAAAAGCACCCTTATAATACAAACCAAGGCTATGGTACAGGGGTGTGTTTCCGAAAACCATTGTTAGCCAACTAAGGTCACGAGTTGCATCATTACAAACATAGTTCATTTATTTGGCGTTTTCCAAATTCGTCGTTCCAAACAAACATTCGTAAACTGCGTCACAAACTTGAACGCTTGCAACTACATCTCTAGAGTTAGAAGCATAATCCCTGGTTGTGTTCTATTCCTAGTTATCCCTCTATGCCCTAATCATTTAGATTATTCCAACATTTAAATTTGGAATAATAAAAAAAAACATTAAAGTCATCTCTTTTAGGTTTTATTTTCAAGTTTTTTCTTACAGTTTATTTTTAGCTATCTTTATATTGACAATTGTGCTGCCTTCATAGTGCACTTTTATGCCATTTTGAACGCAGCCATGGCTCATGACAAAAGCTATAGGTGACCTATTAATTTAAAGCGGAATTTACATTACGTCTCCTAAGCATGTGAAAACAAAAATATATTGTAATAGCCTACTGAAAATTAAAACCATTAACAGATTAAATGATTTATATATGAAATTAGAATAAGTTTTAGAGGAGTGGTTTTAAGTTTTAGAATAGAATATGGAATATTCTCAATTATATTTGTAATTGAAAATAGACCCATTATGTGGCATTTATATATATTTTAATTCATATGGAAAGCGATGTATTTTTAACAAAAAATAATATTGGATTTTTTTATTGTGTGTGCATGTAAATAATATAATCTGCACTAAGTTTTTCTTTAAAGAAGTGGTTACTCCACCCCATTTAGAGTGTCATTATGATTGTTTTATGTTATAACTAATGTGGTTCAAACGACAGATCTGCAACAGAGAAACTACGTTTTTGGGAAACACCCATCACTACATCGTTCTTTACCCAAACGATGCATCGTACTTTGATAGTTCAGCCACGAGTTATGTCGTTGTTTGGGAAACACACTCCAGGTTAGAAGGAGCTGAGCACTACAAGATGTGAGATCTGAGATCCAAGTATGATTTGTTGGTATTGAATTGGCCTGCGCTAATACAGATATCAAATGATTCAGCGGTATTACTGTGAGCATTATTTCATACTACACAAACAGTGCTGTCATACTGCTCTTTAAGTCTCTCTGACGAGATTAACTGACCGACAAAATAATTCACATTAGGTAGTCATAGTGCACTTCATCACGTTTTTAAAAATAAACCAAAAACAATAGTTTACCGTAATTTATTACGACCCTGAACCGGTGGAAGTAAATCTCGTTCATCATTAATATCGAAAAGATATTGTTTTTTTAGAGACGTATATTTTTATTTTCAAATTTAAGGCTTCGTTTCTCATTAATCTGTTTCTCAAAACAAGACTCGGGGCCAAAAATCACTCTCCACTACCACCTAACTGGCTGATTTTTATGTTCGACCTCTCTCATGATACTGCGCTTTATGAAAACGACCACATACCAGGAGAGGATTTCCACATTTTGGGTGGACTTTTCAAAGCACAATCTTATCCGTGGCACGTCAGTGAGTGGGCAGAGCAGCGATTTCTGATTAGAATAATCAGTAACATCTGTTACGTGTGGAATAAAGTTGAAAAGCTGCACAGGATACACATCGCTTTTTTATGACAGGCCGCTTCTGGACACCACCCAATATTACCAAAACTTGACGCTGTGCCAAGGGTCTTTTTTATTCATTGATGGCAAAAAGAGTGTTCTTTATCCTGGCAATTATGATTTAATGATTTATTCCCTAAATTTTTCCAGACTTGCACGCACCTGGCCCGCATGCGACTGAACGATCCACCTGAATGTGAATACACAAGCTTGGAGAAAGAAGCCAGGGCTAAATTCTCTCTATCCTCATTAATCAAAGAGCAGGTATTCTTTTTTACATTGACGATCATTCGTGACATATTCAGTGGTGTGTTGAGGATCAAGAACACGTCCAACAGTGTTTTTGTCATGCGCTCACCATCATACAATTCATGACATGCGTATGGAAGAACTTTGTAGGATCCTGATGTTGAAATGTAATGCTGTTGGTGTTTATGGCAAAAACAGCCACAAAATTTATAAAATAAAAAAAAACACAGAAATTCAAGATACGAAGGTCAAAACTTTCCCTGCATGCACACATATTCTAAAGCTGTTATAGTGATTAAAGGGAATTGTGAAATTAATTTAAACTCCCAGATCACAGAGGTTCATTTAGAGTGCCCAGCATAAATGAGTACACCCCTTACATATCTTTCTTTTAAATTATTTCTTCCTACAGGGTGCTATTCAATTAGATAAGTCTGTACAATCATTAGATTACTCTGTACCAAAGCCAAAACTGGAAATAATTATTTAAATAATAACAAAATTACTTAAAGGTGCAGTAGGTGATTGTCTTCAGAAGCATTTTTTGTTGTGCTGGTTGAAAGTCTCTTCACAGTCTAATAGTAATGATTAAAGTAAATGATCTAAATGTATTTATATGTATTTTTATATTTTGGGTAAGGCATAAAACTAAAAAATGTTCATCCAATTTAATAAAGTCGGACCGACATCTCACTTAATTCTGATAAGTAGCCCAATCTGTCTGTCAGCAAATGCAGATTTGAACAACTACGCAGCCTTTTGTACGCAGCTCTGCTGACTGCAGCGCGTTCACGAGAGAGAGCACGTGCGCGATCAGTAAAAATATGCTGAATCAAAACTTTCCAAAAACCTGAATCAATATTGGAGTTACCTTTGCATGCTGGAGAAAGGATGACACAATGTTTGAAGGATTTTACTTAGACAGGTAATGTTCTGTTTTAAACTGTTTTAGCTTCACGCAAAGCTGATGTAACGGTAGATGTTGTTGTTACAAATTAGTTCTATCTTCACAGAAGTGTTGTTCAGCCACTAAAATCTTCCAATGAAAGATTGATAAGACTATTTTCATTTTTATAAACGACTTTTTACAGCATAGATAATGTAGATTTTATTTAGTTTAACAACAAAACACAAGTAAATACTGCTATTCAGCCTAGTCTCTCTCTATATTGTTTACCATGCAACTCTAATATTCACTCTGAAATCGCATGTCAGTTTGGTTCTTTTGCTGTGGTCGTGTTTCAGGAGGCGTGGCTTTAGACGGCAGGGGAGGGACTGTGATTTAGAGATTTATGCTAAGCTGTTAGCATTGTGGAAGATCACCTACTGCACCTTTAACATCATGGTGCAAAAATATGTACACCCCAACGAATAAGTTAGGAAAAAAATTATATAAAATTTTAATAATAACAAATAAAATTTAATTTAGTTTTTTTTTTTCAATTTATTTACTTGAATTTATTTGCATTATTTTTATATTCCTAAAGATGTCAGATGACCAAGCTCTTTAATGAAAATAACTGTTAAATGCAAGTGTTTTGTTTAAAGGCACAAAATATATGGTCTATATTTACTGAGAAATAACTGAGCAAAGTGTTATATTATTTATTCTGTGCACTGTATATCTGTTTATGTAAAAAAAAGCACGGTATTGCAGCATTTGGCATCTGTTAAGCTTATGATTGCAGCTGCCAATTAGAAGCGTTTATATTAGTCGCAGTTGAAAATACCAGAAAGTTCATTTCTGACCCTGAATTTAAAAGCAAAATAATGTTTTGTAAATTTTTTATATCACTTTTTGTTTTGCACAAATATATGTCTATAGTAGAACTACTGATGTTGCGGTAAATTACTAACCCACTGCTTCTTCTGGCGTCCAGTATCCAGTGGAGTCACAAGCGTGAGGTGAAGTGGCCTCATGGGCATATTGATGGAGAGCTCCATTCTCATCGCAGAGCTGGCAGTTCATATCACCCTCCCTACACAGAAACACACAAAACAGCCATGAAACAGCGAATAAACATGATGATATATAAAATGAAATGTGTCTCAAAATATTTTACATATTCTGTACATTGTTCATTTTACATAAATCACTTATCCTACCCAAAACTTAACTACTCCCCAAATAACTATCAATAAGAGGCCAATTATGAGTTTACTGAGCTAGAATTCAGAGTTAATGGTTTGCTAATAGTGAGATTTGGACCCTGAAGTTAAACATGACCTATATTTATAATAAAGCAGCATAATCATGAATATTATGCCCATTATACACTGTAAAAAATGCTGAGCTCCACACAACTCTTTCATGTTGTCCAACACAAATCCATTAAGTTAGCGTAATAGTTTTTACAAATTTAAGTGGATTGAACATAAATCAATTAAATTGTACAAAAAAAGCTAAAGAGTTGTGTTGTTTCAACTCATTTTAAATAAGTAGTTTCTACGTTTGAAGTCATTTTAGAGTGTATATTTATATGGCATAGAAATTATGTATGAATGAGTTTATTTATATTTTAGATGTGTTTACGTGGCCAAGTATAAATGGCTTTTAAAAACCAAATCTGATGGAAATCCATTGATTTCTTAAAGAAGAAATTAATTTACTCGAAGAGGAATACTGTAACATAAATGCATACATGTTTGTACTGATAAATATGTATTTCCTCTTTGCCAGCATTATGTATGCTCCTTACTTTACCTGTGGGCAAGCGGCCCACTGATTGGATTCAGCCAGTGAATGGAGACAGAGTCCGCTTTTTGACCAACCACCACTGGTGCTAGTGGAACAGGGGTGGGCTTTCTTTCATGGACCCAGGTTTTGTAGACCAAATCAATGTAGCAGTGCATCCGAGCTACTTGATTGGGTGTAAAATGGTTTGTACAGTCATCATCTGTAACAAATAAAAAGTTGAAATCTTTACATTTGGAATTTTCTTCTTTTTTTCTTTTGATTATTTATATTGTACATATAAAGCATATTAAATCAGGGTTCATACACTTTTTTATATCTAAAATTCCATGACTTTTAAGTAAATTTTTATGATCTTATGTTTCATGTAAAGTCTATGTATACTTGGTAAGGAAAACAATGCACGTTCAAATTTATAACAGGATACCATAAAACACACAACAATCTATTTAGAAAAAATATTATCGGACATACAGTGAAAATTTACTTAAATAATTTGGGTAATATATATAAAAAATAATTATTTATATATAACTAGTTATGACCTGTTCTTATAAAATAAAAGAATGAGTCACATGGGTAAGATCATTTGTTACATTTTAAATCATATATTTATTTGAAGTATATTTTATTAAATTTATTTTATTTTATTTTATTTTAACAACTTCATGCTGACAAAAGGGTAAAATCCATAAAAGTATAAAAAAATTTAAAACAACAATCAATTTGCATTTTGGGGCTGCACTGTGATCATTAAAGATTCTTATAACATCTAATCCAATAGTTCATGTTCTAAAAATGCTGACATCCATTTTTTGTAACATTCTATTGATGTTACACTAAATGACAACTTGTTTCGTGGTAAAAAATAAATAATAAAAAAAAAAAACATGGTAAAAATATTGGTCACATGCTAACTAATTCTCATCAGATTATAAGTAGACTTAAGGTTGCGGTTAAGGTTAGTATAAGTTGAAATGTACTTGCAAAGATTCATATAGTCAGTTAAATGTCTGTTGAAGGAGCAGTATCAACAGATATTAAGTAGACAGTCTACTGATGCTCAAATGGACCATCAAAATAAAGTGTAACCAAAATATATGATAGCAATTTTCCTAGCAAAGGTAAACAAAAAATATTGTAATGAATACAGAAAAAAAAATTATATGAGATCACGTGACATTAAATAAATAATGCTCAGAAATGTTTGATTGCAGAACAGAAGTAGTAAACTGATCCTACCCGTGTAACTCATGTAGTTGTTGTACGGTGTGTTTTTGTATTGGGTAAGGCCACATGTGTCGTTGACTGGATCAGGGTCATGACATGCTTTAGACTTTGGGGTTGGTGCTGTATCCGCACAAAGATCTCCTGTCTCCATCGATGCGGTGGTCTCTTGACAGGGGTCATCACATGATTCGCGTTCGCTCACACCCTTAAACACATGGTACAGTCCAAAAATATGACCCATCTCATGGATCATGGTGTTGTTGTGCCCTTTGGTGCCAAAGTAGGCAGGATTAAGAATCATTCCACCTGAAAAATGACACAAAGTGACATCTCAGTGGTTGATCCATCAACAGAAACTTTAACCTGACGGGTGTAGATTTTCTTTAATCCCAAAGCCAGAACTCTGTGAGTATATGAAATTTATTTAGTATGAAATTTGCTGCAAAAAACAGTGCGCACTATCCCGTAAAATGGGACCACCATGGCTAGGATTACTCGAAAGAACAGTACATCTTGTTATCAGTGTTGTCTAATGTTCTGCTCACTTTCAGAAGATTACAATGTATTTAAAATCCCACACCTGCTGAACGGTACCACACTGGCATCTGGTTTTACATCCAAATCAATGCAATAAAACCCTTAAACCGCTGTGACATTTAAAAACTAAACAAAAACAAAAAACTAAACAAAACTAAATAAAATTTGGTAATTAAAAACCATATGGCCATATACAAATATAACTCTCTTCTCTGAATTTCGCCATCACAGACAGGCCATTTTTGGCGGATGTACAGGATTTGAGCTTATTATTTAGGAAATATCCACGTTTTATGGGAGTTCAGCCAAACGGACAGAGCTTGGCGAGACACGTCTGACAGACACAGATCGTTTACAGTTATACCACAAGATCAGCAATCCATGCTATGGTCTGATTTCACTTAAAGCGTTCAGAGAAGTAGTTCGACCTTGTTCCTCAACACAAGACTTCAAGGTTCTCTCGCAAATAAGCTCATGATTTATGTGGAATTAAACCACGGCAGGCTGTTGCCCAAACCCATACCGTAAACCCAATTCCTTTAGTTTATGAGAAACTAATCTCACTTTTTAACCTCCATGCAGGTCCACAGAAACATTCGCGGACAAAGATCATCTTGCCGCACTGTTTCTGACATGATGGTAAATCAAAAGAAGAGGTGGATTATGGGCATAACAAGAACGGAGCCATATCGCTGTGAAAATAAGAAAGAGGCCATATCTCTGTGTGATTCAAAGCAGTGCAGTCAGTCAGTCATGCTACCTTTTATGTTTCAGACCACCTCTGGAATCTGTATTAGCCATTACAGCTGTTGAAAAAAACAAAACAAATTTCTGAATTTAAGGATATATCTTTTCACTTGAATATTTGTACTCAGTTTATTTGGCCTGGATCAAGTCTTTATAACTACTGTAACCTTTAAATAACCAATTGGACATAGTTCAGTAACCTGTGATTATAATGTGGGATATGTTAGAGATCTTTGGAGGTCCACTAGGTTACAAAAGCAGAGGGTTGACCCCAGACCCCAGTAGGTTTGGTTCCAAATTCATACAAATTCCATAAATATTTCCTTTCAGCAATATTTCATTTTAGACAAATCCTTAAATAAAAATCAGTCAACAGAACAGCAGGATTTTATTTTACTGATTGTGGGGCTGCAGGCTATGTACAGTACATGTTACATTTACATTCGGGTTCAGCCAAGTTTAAAAACAGGGACAGACATTTTACCAGGTCTGTCTCAAAAGTCAAAAATGTCAAGAAGGCATAATGACTACAAGTGTACATAGACCTTGTAAGCAACTTTGTAATGGAGCAGTAACCAAATCAGTCAGCGGGTCATCACAATTTTCCTTACGGATTGTAAGCTGTATGCAAATCAGAGGTGTTAACATTCAAGTGTACCAAAATCCATACTTTTAATCTTGGTTTGCTTGTTCGGACAGCCGATTCTAATGTTATCACTTGATTGAATGGGCGTTATCAGTGGTTATCAGCTGATGGATATGGGCCAGTAGGAGCATTGTGCGTCTACTGGTAGGCTCAGAAGGTTGTTATCATCCATCCACATGTTTAATCAGCTATAGATCACATTCAGCTGTGGATGGAAGTTAATGAGAATTATTATTTTTATTTATTAAATTTCCCATTAATGGTATTTATTAACGTCCACCCCAACCCTAAACCCAACCGTCACAGTAATGTAAAAACAGACGTGGATCTGGAGTCGTCTCTATTAATATAGCTGATTAACCATGTTGATAAATGATAACAGCTTTCTGAGCTTACCAGTAGGTGCAGAAGGCCCCTACTGGCCCATATCTCTCAGCTGATAATCACTTATATCTAAATTAAAGGAAATGTTCACCCAAAACTGAATATTGCGTCATCATTCACTTACTCTTTACTTGTTTCAAACCTGTTTGATTTTCTTTCTTCTGTTGTATTAAAAAAAATGGAAACCTGTAATCGTTGATTTCAAAGGTAGATGTTTTTTCTTCCTTGGATGTAAATTGTTACCCTTTCTGTAAAACTTTACTTAAAGGGGGTGTTAAAGGACAGTTGTAAAACCTTCATGATCATGATTATGAATGAGATTTTTTCATGCATGCTTATGACAACTGTCTTTAAGTGTCATTCACTCAATTATGACATTTTAAATGCAAAGATGACATTGTTTGAGATGTCTTTGTTATGACAACTGGACATTAAAAGGGCAAAACAACTGTCAGTGTCTTTGTCATGACAACTAGAAATTACCAAGACAACATAACTTGTCATAAATATTTCATAAACATGATTTTCATGAGGCCATTTTAATTGTGTCATAAATTGTATAAGTCATTAATATTTGTATCGAATTCTACTGTAGTACAAAACAAATTTGTCATTAAAATGTAAATATTAATGATACTGTTGTAAAATGATTTGAGAATTGACACTTTCAGTGAGAAATTTTAATGACACAAGTGATCAGAAAAATATTCAGACACAATAATAATGGCCTAATGACAACCATGTTTATGAAATAATTACGAAAAGTTATGTTGTCTTTGTAATCTCAAGTTATCATGACAAAGACAAAGACAGATTATGATGCGTTTGTATACAGTATGTCAAGCAACAAAGACATCTCAAACTATGTCACCTTTGCATTTAAAGTTACATAACTGAGTTAATGACATTTCATGACAGTTGCAGTAAGCGTGTAACCACCCCTTCAATTAAAGTGTTACCCCGGTTCTAACATTCTTTAAAATATCTTCTTGTGTATTCAACAGAAAAAAAAGACATTTATAAAGGTTCGGAACCATGTGAGGGTAAGCAAACAGTGAGTAAATTTTCATTTTTTGGGGTGAACTATTCTCTTAAACACACCAGAGTTCACTTTAATCAAACCAAACTTGCCAAGTATAAATACACCCTAAGACCTAACAGTCTGGTCAGTTGTTTATATGAACATTTCATGGTCCATTGTTTCATCTTAATTTGATCTTCCTTGGGCTCAGACAATTAAAAAAATGACCAAGACCTGGACCCCATCCTAAAGGGATTAATTTGGTAATTACTGACTGGATTATCAAGTTTATTATTTGGCTGCTTACCAAATAAGACAGAAATAGCGGAATTATACAATTTCACAGACAGAAATACTTGACTCGACATAAGGGGTACTGAAAATAATGCAAATGCAGTTTCCATCATCATGTTCAAATGTAGGAAACTGTAGATATACACTACCTGACAAAAGTCTTGTCGTTTATCCAAGTTTAGGAACAACAAATAATAATTTGACTTTTAGTTGATCACTTGGTATCAGAAGTGGCTTATATGGAAGGCAAATGCCTCTAGATTACACTTATTTTACTAAAATAAAATATGATCATGACTTGACTTGTAATTGTTTAAATAGGAAAGTAAGGTCTGACTTTGCTAAGACAAAAGTCTTTGCACTTAACAGAAATAATGTACAGTACAGAATATAAAGTCATGGTGCAGTAGAAAAAGAATTAATATTGAGCATGACTCCCATCAGCTTGGAGGACTGCAACCATACATCTCTGCAATGACTCAAATCACTTATTAATAAAGTCATCTGAAATGGCAAAGAAAGCGTTCTTGCAAGACCCCCAGAGTTCATCAAGTTTATTAGGATTCATCTTCAATGCCTCCTCCATCTTAACCCAGACATGCTCAATAATGTTCATGTCTGGTGACTGGGCAGGCCGACCCTGGCACACCATGACCATAATTTCTTTTAGAAATTCTAATGTGGAGTAATATCCTGCTGAAGAATTTGCCCTCTCCTGTGGTTTGTAATGTAATGGGCAGCACAAATGTCTTGATACTTCATGCTGTTGATGTTGCCATCCGCTCTGCAGACTTCTCGCACGCCCCCATACTGAATGTTATCCCAAACCATTATTTTTCCTTCACCAAACCTGACTGATTTCATTGAGAATTTTGGGTCCATCTGGTTTCCAATAGGTCTCATCTGTGATGGTTGGGATGCAGTTCAACAGATGATTCATCTGAAAAATCTACCTACTGCCACTTTTCAAATGATCAACTAGAAGTCATAATTTGTTGCTCTTACAACTGGGATCAACGACAAGACTTTTGTCAGGTAGTGTATGTCTAAAATAATACATAATTAATTTTATTTAACAAATGAAATTCTAAAACACTTTACAGTAAGATTTTACTTCTTAAAACTAGTAAAATGAATGCTAAATCAATGAATAAAACAGGCTTAAAACCCAAAAAATATATACAAAAAATTACACTGTGTATTACAAATAAAAAAGTAAAAAATAACATTAGTAATACAGTTAAATCTATCATATCATCTAAAGGTTTAGCAAATTCATCATTAATGTCGAATATTAACAAGTATCACAGATTGTTTGGTTTTTCAGGAAAACGTACCACCAAATTCAAACTCACAAAATCAAGTTGGCGCTAATTACTCATGCTAACATCGGTTTAAAAGTTCACGTTCTACACATACGCCAGAACGATCTCATTAACAAAAGCTATAACCCAAAAAGCCAAGACCAGAATGTCTGATCATGCATCCTGGACCAATGGGAGGGGGGACTTATATAAGAAACCTTCCTGCTTGAGAGAAATCTCGTTTTTTTAAAGGAGCTGGACTTAACTGAGACCACTTTAATGAGCTTTAAAACACAGCAACGATGGGTACTATAAAATAAGCTGGCAGTTTGGAGATGGCAACAGGGTAATGCCCTTCTTTTGTTTTTGTTTGGTTGTTGTCGAGTTCCTTTTCTTCCCTCCCTGTGGACGGCTGTAATGATTAAGAGGTAATCTACTGGGAAATCTATGCGTGCTGCAAGTGTTTTCTTTTATGCTTGAGATTACGGCCCATTAATCTCACAAAGCCAAATACAGACAACAAGGTGGAAGAGGCAAGAATGTGTTTCTTTAAAGAAATGATTTAGGGCGATCAAAAAAAAAGGCAAAAAGATGTATGGCATTAGGTACAAAAAAACACATGTGCTGTGGGGAATGTAGTGACAGGAAACAACTGTCTTCTTAACATGACATTGTCCATGGTAGAATGAACCCAGTTGGCTTTAGAGGTCAGAAGGCAGAACTAGCGTAACTGTCTTTGTTGTGAAGGTCTGGTCTTTTATTTTGAACTAGCTATTCGGCATTTATCTCAAAGGTTTGTTTCATGTTAACATGCTTTTTGTGTCTTTCTTGTGTGATTTTACAAACTGGTTGTTTTCCCAGGCATTTAACTAACCTCCAAACTGATGCTTACTTCCTATGTGAAAAATGCTAAGCCATACAGGTAAATACGCATTATATTACCATCCCTAAAACCAAACTAATGATTTTCACAAATTGAAGCACTCCTGTCCAGAACCAACCATTAATTACAACTGCACAAGGTGAACGAATAAATTTACTGTCCAGCTGTAAGTATTTAGGCTTTCTACTCGATCAGCAGCTTTCTTTCAAAGAACACAAAGCAAATTTGGCTCAAAAATTGAGAGTTAAGAATGGATTTTACTATTGAAATGCATCCTGCTTTTCTCTTAAACCTCGTAAACATTTGGTGTCTGCAACATTTTTACCATTGATTGACTATGGGGATGTTTTATATATAAATGCTTCAAACAAATGTCTTCAGCCTTTAAACTCCGTCTATCACAGTGCTCTAAGGTTTGTTACAGGCTGTTAGAGACTCACTTACCATTGTGATCTGAGTGGCCTTCTCATGTAAAAAGGTACACCCACTGGATGACTCTGGTCTACAAGGCTCTTCTGGGACTGGTGCATTCACACCTGAGTTCTCTCCTTTATAAGTCAAAAAGTCAGTATGCCCTACGTTTTATTGAATCTTATCATTTGACTGTTCCCCGGGTTCGAACTGAAATAGGGAAGCGAGCCTTTAGTCATGCCGCCCCTTCATCCTGGAATGGTCTTCAGTCTGAACTAAAAATATCTGAGCTCATCCCAATTACATCCTTTCCCTCTATCCTTTTTAACAAACAACAACAGTCTATTTCTCAGTGTATGTTTTTAATATATTGTAATGTGGTATAGCTGAACAGCTAAACTGTATTTTATATTATCTTAATTTTCTGTTTATTATTAAAATTATTTTAAGTCATGTGTTGCGGACCTCTTGGCCAGGTCACCCTTGTAAATGAGATCTTGATCTCAATAGGTTTTTTTTATCTGGTTAAATAAAGAAACATATATAGAAGCAGACCAGAGTATTTTAGCATATTAGACTACAGTGCTTGAACTATAATCATATGAAGCTCCAAGAACTATTTTGTGCACCCAAAAAAATGTAAAAACCTTTTTGTTCACTAATGTTTTCCATATCAGATCAGGGTGTGTGTTTACTACAGGCAATTCAGCACTTACCTGTTGTAATGCTGACAATAATGTTAATACAATGCAGGACAGAAGATATAGGTGAACTGACAATGTCATTGTGGCGTTGGCAGAATTCGCTTTGAGTGTGCATGACCTTATTTTGCTGACAGCATAAAGAACGAAAGACAAAACTGGCAGCAGTGCATAAATTAACAGTTCATTTAGGTGAGAAATATACGTTTAAGACTTCAAATCATTATATAATTTTAAGTAATTTTACTAATAAAACCGCAGTTGTGCTCTTTCTTTCATGAGCTCTTGTGTTACATGCAACTGGACAGCTTACCTTGGTGAGTAAGAGCTTCTTTTGCCCATGGCCAAGTGGCAACTCCAGCCAGCTCCTCACGTGCCGAATTATTAGCGAAGAACACGTTGAGCATGTCTGAACTGCTCAGATGAAGCAGCTCTTTCAGTTCCTTCACACTCAAATAAGCTCTGCAGAAGAAATAAATCAATAAAGAAAAAAATGTAGCTAAAATAACACTGATAAACACTTCTAAAGCATGCATTCAATTAAGTTCAACAATTACTAATAGATTTCTTTGATGGATTGAGACTCAGGTCGAAGAGCTTTTATCTCATGATTGGACAACTAATCTACGTTGATCTCCTGATCAGTTGTTTTGTTTCCTTCTTTCCTAGTGTACTTTAAAAGGTGTGAGGACTATATTTTGCAGAGATTCCACTATTTGGGAAATCTGGAATCTAAGGGTAAAAAAAAATAATAAAAGAAAAATAAATAAATACTAAAAGAATTGCCTTTAAAGTTGGCTAAATTAAGCTCTTGGCAATACACAAACCTAATCAAAAAATTCAAAATCAAAAAAGTATTTTTATATTTATAGTTTCAATCTGCACAATTTGTTCATAATACATGATCTTTACTTAATATTCTGAGCATTTTTTATTTAAATCAAATAAATCTGCACAATATTTTCATAAAAACATGATCTTGACTTAATATTCTAAGCATTTTTTAATTTAAATCAAATGCATCTGCACAATATGTTCATGAAACATGATCTTTACTAAATATTATTTAAAAAAAATATTATTTAAATCAAATAAATCTGCACAATATTTTCATAAAAGCATGATCTATACTTAATATTCTAATTATTATTTGTTATTTAAATCAAATACATCTGCACAATGTGTTCATGAAACATGATCTTTCCTAAATAGTCTAATGATTTTTTTTATTTAAATCACATAAATCTGCACAATATTTTCATGAAACATAATCTTTCCGAAGTATTCAATTTATTTATTTAAATCAAATAAATCTGCAAAATATCTTAATGAAACATGATCTTTACTTAATATTATAATGACTTTTTTTAATCAAATAAATCTACACAATATGTTCATGAAACATGATCTTTACTTAATATTCTTAAAATAGTGTATTTAAATCAAATAAATCTGCACAATATCTCTAAAATTTATCTTAATAATAATATAAATATCTTAATAATATTATGATTTTTAGAGAGGCAGTGGAGCAGTAGGTAGTGCTGTCGCCTCACAGCAAGAAGGTTGCTGGTTTGAGCTTCGGTTGGGTCACTTGGCATTTCTGTGTGGAGTTTGCATGTTCTCCCTGCATTCCCTTGGGTTTCCTCCGGGTGCTCCGGTTTCCCCCACAGTCCAAAGACATGCAGAACAGGTGAACTGGGTAAGCTAAATTGTCTGTAGTGAATGAGTGTGAATGAGAGTGTATGGATGTTTCCCAGAGATGGATTGCAGCTGGAAGGGCATCCGCTGCTTAAAACATATGCTGGATAAGTTGGCGGTTCATTCCGCTGTGGCAGCCCCAAAATAATAAAGGGACTAAGCCAAAAAGAAAATGAATGAATGAATATTATGTTTTGTTTTGTTTTTTATCAAATAAATCTGCACAATATCTTCATAAAAATGTTCTTTATTAATATTCTAATGATTTTTTTTTATTTATTCTAATAAAAAAAACTGCACAATCATAATGTAACAAGATCTTACTTAAAAATCTAATGATTTTTGGCATTTAAAAAAAATCTATCATTTTGACCAATACAATGCATTTTTGGTTCTTGCCAAAAATATATCCATGCAACATCAGACTGGTTTTGTTGTCCAGGGTCACAAATGAGCAATTTACCATAAAAACACAATTCTATTTATGTAAGTAACCAACTGGATTTTGAAAGCAAATAACATCAAAAGTATGGCAGTAATTTTATATATATGGTTATGGATATGGCTTTTTTAGATTCATAACAGCACTCATAAAAAAGACTTTATGTCACGATGATTAGAGATTATAATTGTTTGAACTGTTTATGGCCCATGAAACGACTACCCACTTTTTATTCCACTTCCAGCTGTGATAAATCGCCACAGAGGTGCTTTGATGTGTGATGTTAACTTATTTTTACCTTGGAATATGTCACATGTAATTTTTTCTTTTGCTTTCTTAGCTGCTTAAGCCTTTGCACCTCATATCAATGGTCTGTTGGTTTAAAGAGGTCTGACTCTTAATGCCCTTTGGATCATGCCGAAGGGTCGAGCCTATTAGCTGAACCACCTACTGTTTCTTGGACCCGTTCCATTCAAGAATGAACCATGTATTGTAGCTTTTTATTATTATTATTAAACAAGCAAAGGTCGAGCCAATATTCATGACAACTCTATAGTCTAAATCTCTCTAAATGGGCTATTTACTTCAGCTAAATAATTCTAATTATTTTTTATAATTATGACTTAAAGCTAAACAGTGTGCTGTTCCAAATATGTTCAGAAAATGTGTACAACAAATAGGTTTTTTAACAATTTCATTCTTAAGACATCAAGTAAAGACAACGGTGCAGGATACTAGAAATAACTCATATTTAGATTAATAGTTCTCCATTTATGTGACTCTTAAGGTCACATATTACCCACAACAATATATTGAACAATTGTGTGCTTAATCAGTATTTACTGGCTTCATTTTAAGCATAAAGCTCACAATTTATTGGTACAATTATGGTTTAAGAGCCCCTATTATGCATTTAAAAAGTTCATATTTTGTCTTCTGTCATATAATATGCATTTACTTTAACCTAATTATTCCAACGACTCCTATATGATTTGCTCAGAGATTCATTTGTTCCCAATCCCCTCCTTAGCACGATGCTAATATGTCCGATGGCCCAGTCTGTTATGTTTGGTCGACTGTGCTCAGCACGAAACAGAGAGAAATGGCCATCATGACTTAACAACATTGTTGAAGTAGTCAGAATGCAGAGTGTATGTGTGAGCCCAACACCGGAGTGCATTAAAGCAATGCATTTTAACACCAACATATTGCTCTACTCTTAACCATGAGTAAAAACAATGACACATATTCAGTATTAATCTACATAATGGCAAAAGCAGAACTATTCTGGAACTTGACTCAACGCACGTGTGTAGGTGTCATGTTCACCTGCGATCAAACCACCAGAGGTCGCTGGTAAACACTCACATTCACATGAACTACAAATCTGCTGGTAAATGGACTACAAGAACCAGTCATGCTCCACACACACAACCTGTTCCAGATCCTGACTGATTGCATACACACAGCTGATACTGCTGAAGTACTGATTACACACACACACACACACACACACACACACACACACACACACACACACACACACACACACATATATATATATATATATATATATATATATATATATTTTTTTTTTTTTAAATATATATATATATTTATATATTTATATATATATATATTTATATATATATATATATATATACAGCTCACCTTGAAACCCTCATTGCTGAGTCTTGTTATCTGTTTTAAGTGACACTACAACGCGTTGTCTGCCTTTGCCGTGTTTTTGATCCTTTGCCTTGTTTATTTGTTTAATTGTGTTTGCTGCCTGTCTTTGACCATCTGCCTGCCTATTGACTATGGTTCTGGATTGCCCTCATAGATCTGTTTGTCCTCTATTGACCACTGCTTGCCTTACCATTCTAATAAACCTGCATGTGGATCCGCACCCCTGTTGTCAGTGTCATACCCCTGGTTACAGTAGGAGAAGCTGACTGGCCATAGCAATGACAAACGGCAGAGAATTGTGAGCTCACAAATGCAAAAACAAAAAGCTCTGACAGTCCCATATATCAATAGTCTTTTCTGATCATTCCTTTAACAAACGGCTGACAAATCCCCCGTTACAGGGTAGATTATTGCAATAATCACCAGAACATTTACTCATTAATATTCACTCATCTTCAGTCATGATCAGTCCCACACACACACTCTCTCTGCTGGCGTTTGAAGGGAAAGGAGCATTCTCGTTTTACCAGATCCAGTACTTTTGGTATTGTTTCGCGTCAACGTTGATACAAACAGGCAAAAGATCCGGATTAACAACGAATCATTTAAATGTCTCTGAGTTCAATCTTTTATTTAAAAAATCTATTTTTTTTAGAGGTGCACTTTCAGCTTTAAATTTTAATTCACTTAGAGCTGTGCTGTATACTGCAAGGAAGGTCTTTTTTAAAAACCCATAATAGGGGATTTTTATAAGAAAATAAAAGATTTATATTAAGTAAGAAATATATATAAAGTTGAAGTCAGAATTATTAGCCCCCTTTATTATGAGCCCCCATTTTTATTGTTTTTCTCAATTTCTGTTTAATGTAGAGAAGATTTTTTCAACACATTTCTAAACAATATTTTAATAACTAATTTCTAATAACTGGTTTATTTTATTTTTACCATGATGACAGTAAATAATATTTGACTACATATTTTTAAGACACTTCTATACAGCTTATAGTGACATTTATAGGCTTAACTAGGTTGATGCGGTTAACTAGGTTAGGGTAATTAGGCAAGTTATTGTATAATGATGGTTTGTTCTGTAGACTATCGAAAAAAAATGCTTAAAGGGGCTTATAATTTTGTCCCTACATTTTTTTTTTATTAAAAACTGCTTTTATTTTAACTAATAACAAAACAAATAACACTTTCTCCAGAAGAAAAAAATATTAGCAGACATATTGTAAAAATTCCCTTGTTCTGTTAAACAACATTTGGGAAATATTTCAAAAATTCAAAGGGGGCCTAATAATTCTGACTTCAACTATATATATATATATATATATATATATATATATATATATATATATATATATATATATATAATTTGAAATAAGTCACATTGTTTATATTAATTATTCATTGTGCATTTTGCTCTAGAAAACAATTTAAAAATACTGATAAATAGCAAAAAATATATGTGTGTGAAAATGCTAGAAATTCGAGAAAATTATAGTTTATTCAGTTTTCAGCATTTGTAGTCCTCCTGACTGAACATTATAAACATGATCATAAACAGATTTCCCAATATCTTATCCCATTTTCACAAAATGGCAGATTTCAAGTTGTTCTGATGAACAAA